AAACAGCAAAGGGGACAAAATGGACCCCTGTGGTACTCCATGGCATAGCTGCCATGGCGCAGAGCCATAGTCCCCCAACACTACCTTCTGGAATCGGCCGTTGAGATAGGAGCGGAACCACTGCAAAGCAGTGCCTCCGACCCCCAGTCCCGCTAGCCTATCCAGAAGGATACCATGGTCAATGGTATCGAAAGCCGCTGAGAGGTCCAGAAGAACCAACAGGGAAGCACTCCCCCTGTCCTTCTCCCTGCACAGGTCATCGTACAGGGTGACCAAGGCGGATTCAGTACCGTACCCGGGTCTGAAGCCGGACTGAAATGGGTCCAGATAATCAGTTTCATCCAAGAGTGCTTGGAGTTGTCCCGCCACCACCCGCTCTAACACCTTGCCCAGAAACGGGATGTTGGCCACAGGTCTATAGTTAGCGGCCATCTCTGGATCCAGTGACGCTTTCTTCAGGACCGGTCGGACTACCGCCTCCTTTAAAGGGGCAGGCATCCGACCCTCCCTCAGAGAAGCGTTAACCACTTCCAAGATCCAGGTCCCAATCCCGTGCTTGGAATTATTTATTAACCAATAAATAATTGGTTATTTGGTTATATTATAATATTTGGTTATATTATAATAATTGGTTATAACTGTATTATAAATAATACAGTTGGGATGAACCAGAAAGTCACTGAGTCCAACTCCTTGCTCAGTACAGGACTTTATGTTCTCAGGTGGCTGTGTGTTCACACAACACAAGAACAGAGGCATCCTGAATGCCCATATTGCAGAACAGCCCACAACTAGGTAAGAGCTTCTGTTGTTGTATTGCTGTAATAGGAAGGAAGTTCTTTTTGATGTTCCTGGCTTCCTGAACTTGAGCCTATTAATCCATGCCTTGCATTTTTGGATGATTGAGAAAAGATCCTGTCCTTCCTCTGACAGGAAGAGTGTCATTGTATCTCCCCTCAGTCATCTTTTCCCAAAGCTGAGCATGCCCAGTTCTTTCAATCTCCCCTCATAGGGCTTTGTTTCCAGTCCCTGGATCATCCTTGGTGCTCCTCATCTTGTAACAATGCATTCCTCATTTTGCAATGATGCATTTGGTTGCTTCTTCCTAGGTACAGAACTTGGCATTTGTCCCTATTGAATTTCATTCTGTTGTTTTCAGCCCAGCACTCCAACCTATAAGATCACCTTGAACTATCTGTCTTCCAAGGTATTACTATCCCACCCAGTTTTGCATCATCTGCAAATCTGATAATCATTACCTGCATTTCCTCATACACATTATTAATAAAAATGTTGAAGAACATTGGGCTCAAGATGGACTGCTGTGTTACTCCACTTGTTATTTCTCCCCAGTTTGAGGAAGTGCCATTGATGAACACTCTTCATCTGATTCTGTTATCTAACTGTGGATCCACCTGATAATTGTTCCATCTAGCCCACTTTGTAAGTAGTATGGAAGTTTATGCCAGAATGAATTTATCAATCTTCAAGATGCCACAAGTTGTTGCATTCCTGTGCTATTTACACTTGAACTATTGCTAACAAACCTTTCACACAATGTAGGACAATTAAGAAATTCAGTGTGATGAAATCCCTTGATTCAACCTTGGGTGATAGAATTAAGCTTGCTTATTAATTCTGATTCAGCACTCTGCAGGCTTGAAGGACTATGCCGGGATGCTACCCAGAATATGGACTTTACTGCCTTGCTAAGTGGCGAAATGGCCACTACCTTAGATGCTTTCCAAATAAAGTTAAGGGAGGCTTCAGTGGATATTCAGTAGATTCAGTAGATTCAGTAGATCTGATTATCTGGACCCATTTCAGTCCAGCTTCAGACCCGGGTACGGTACTGAATCTGCCTTGGTCGCCCTGTACGATGACCTGTGCAGGGAGAAAGACGGGGGAGTGTGCCCCTGTTGGTTCTCCTGGACCTCTCAGCAGCTTTCGATACCATCGACCATGGTATCCTTCTGGATAGGCTAGCGGGATTGGGAGTTGGAGGCACTGCTTTGCAGTGGTTCCGCTCCTATCTCAATGGCTGATTCCAGAAGGTGGTGCTGGGGGACAATGGCTCTGCACCATGGCAGTTATGCCATGGAGTGCCACAGGGGTCCATTTTGTCCCCTTTGCTGTTTAACATCTACATGAAACTGCTGGGAGAGGTCATCAGGAGGTGTGGGCTGAGGAATCATCAGTACGCTGATGATACCCAGCTCTACCTCTCATTTTCCACCAATCCAGGTGAGGCAGTGGCTGTACTGAACCGGTGCCTGGCCAAGGTAATGGGCTGGATGAGGGTCAATAAACTGAAGCTCAATCCAGACAAGACAGAGGTCTTGTTGGTGGGTGGCTCGGGCTTTGGGGTGGGGGACTTGGGCCTTGTCCTAAATGGGGTTGCACTCCCTCTGAGGGACAGGATTTGCAGCTTGGGAGTGCTCCTTGACCCTGAGCTGTCATTGGAAGCTCAGGTGACAGCGGTGGCGAGGAGCACCTTCCTTCAGCTTTGGCTGATCCATCAGCTGTGTCCCTATCTGGAGAACGACTGCCTGGCAACAGTGACCCACATGTTGGTAACTTCCCGACTAGACTTCTCTAACTCACTCTTTGTGGGACTACCCTTGAAGACGATCCGGATACTTCAATTGGTGCAAAACAGAGCTGCCACATTGCTGACGGGGACTGGGCATTGTTCTCATATAACCCCAGTTCTCTGTCAGCTTCACTGGCTCCCTATTGAAGTCCGGGCCCAATTCAAGGTGTTGGTTATGACCTATGAAGCCCTAAATGGCTTGGACCTGGATATCTAAAGGAACATCTGTGTCCATATATGTCCTCCCGCCCCCTACGATTGGCAGATGATGCCCTTCTCTGGGAACCCTTCGTGAAGGATATTAGGAGGGTGAGTACCCGGAGGAGGGCTTTCTCTGCGGTGGCGCCCCACCTATGGAATGCGTTCCCCAGAGTGTTCCGCCTGGCACTGTCATTATTTGCTTTTTTGGCGCCAGGCGAAGACCTTTTTATTTAAAAGTTATTTTAACTGTTAATTTATTATATTGCATTTATAGATTTTAATATATATAGCCAAGATGGTACCAGTTTTTAAATTATTAATTGTATTTTTTATGAATGTTGTGAGCTGCCCCGAGGCTTTGTTGCGATGGGGACAGCATAGAAATGTTTTAAATAAATAAATAAATAAATAAATAAAAATCCACTAACACCAGTAGCTACTCGTAATGATACCAAAGGGAGGCTTAGAAAATGTGCGTTACTGAATACTGTTTGCTGGGGTTAACGAGAGCAGGGCAGCCTGGTGCCCTGCAGATATGTTGGACAGCAGCTCCCATCATCCCCAGCCGGGAACGCCGCGGCCTTCCTCGGTTCCCTGGAGGCAGCAGGGTGGCCACCGTGGGAAAGAGGATGCCGAACTCAGAGGAGCCGGAGGGCGCCTTGGGCCTGGGCTACCCTCCCGCCCCAAGGCTCCCTCGGCCGAGCGAGGGGGGAGGCGGCCTCGCGGGTCTCCCGGGGCCGAGAACCGCCCCTTGCGGCGAGGAGCAGCAGCCCCGGCGGCCCCCGCTCTTCCAGCACCAGCCCGCAGCCGGAGCCCGGAGAAGGACCGAACCTGCCACGAGGAGCACGGGCCGGGCGGTGGCGCCAGGTAGCCCGTCCGCGCTGGGCGGAGCCAGCGGCGGAGTCCGGCAGGGGCGGGACTTAAGGGAGCTGGGGGCCCGAGCGCCGCTGTCGGTGTCGCTGCCGCCGCTGCCCCCGTCGCCCGTGCTTGTCGCCCTCTCCGCACGCAGCCGGCGCAATGGCAGGGACCGGGCTAGGCTCGGCGGGGCTGGACCTGGAGAAGCTGCGCATGGCGGGCGCCGGCCTGGCTCTGGCTGTCCTTACCAGCGGCGGCGACGCACAAGGTCAGTCGGAGGAAGGAGGAGCGAGGGCGGGGGGCACGCGCGCCCCCTCCGCCCGCCGCCCTCCAAGGAGCCGTGCAGGTCCCTGCGCGGGAGGCCCAGGTGGCGCAGGAACGTGCCTCCGGGCACGGCTGCGCGCGAACTAGGCCTGCGCAATGGAGCCCGGGCGCGCAGGGGTGGGGAGCGGCTCAGACGGGGCCAGAGCAGCTGCCATCAAGCCCCCGAGCCCGCCTGTGAGGAGCCGTTCCCAGAAGCGGCCAGTCGACGGGCGAGCTCCTCCTCCCGTCCACGCCTCCCGTAGGAGAGCCGCTTCCCAAGTGCCGTAAGAGGAGGTTCAGGGGATGGGAGTGCATCCGCCTGAGTGACTGAGCTGGCACTCCGCATGTCTGGTTTCCTCCTCATGCTCCCGGCGGGACTAGAGCAAAGCTTAAATCTGGGCCCTAGAGCTTATTTGTAGTGTTGCAACTCAGTTCCAGAGTAAGTGCAGCAGCCACACAGTAACTTTGAGCATGTGAAAAGTGCATTACTTTGCTGATTAGACGCGAGCAGCCCCAGCGAGTCTGAGATGGGGAAGGGTGCATTTGCAAACCAGCTGAGCTTTAGTGCAGCTTTACCCAGCTGGGCGGTCCCCAGAAGTTTTGGACTGCAACTTCCATGAGCTCCAGCCAGCATGACCAAGGCTCAGGAATCTTGGGAGTTAGTAGTCAAAAGCATCCGGAGGTTACTTAGTGACTAAGAGGGCAGTCCATAAGCAGGGGCCTCTCCATCCCCTGCTCACCTTGGCTGTGACCAGATGTCACTTGCTGCCCATAGGCCATGGCTCTCTTCTCTGTCGCCAGTATCATCACCTTGCACCTGCAGCATAGGAACAGCCCTGACCTAATTTCTTGAGTATTATCAGGATTGCAGAGGAAATGCATAGAAAGTACTTGAGCATTAAGTGATAACTAGTATCGTTGCTTTACAGAGATAGACACAAAAGGAGAAGGTTAATGGAGCCATTGGATACAAAAAAAAAATCACATTTCCTGTTCATTCCATGGAAAGAAAGCTGTTTTGCAGCAGTTTGCATTCTAATTTAGGAAAATGCATTAAATGTTATTTAATGCTATTAGGAGTTTTTCCAGAAACAGCCCCAGACTCTCAGCCTAACTTATCTCACAGGGTTTTTGTGAAAATGAGATGGAGAGAAGCAAGATAATATATTCCATCTTGGCTCCTTGGAGGAAAGGCAGGATATAAACACAACTGATAAATAATATAAACAGGCTTGAGGAAACTAGGACACATCTGTGTGGAGTGGAGGGTCTTGATACATGTGTGTCTAGGAGCCTTGACTAGCCCTACACTTTTGACTGTGTGATTCCTAATAGTGTCTGTGTATCAAGTAAAATGATAGGTTGCTACAGTTACAGTATATTTAGTAACACTGATATTTTCCCTTTGCAGTTAGCTTTCATTCTGTTAAAACAGGGCAAATTTCTTGACAATTGCAACTGTAGAGGTTAAAATTTTTCTTAGTGATGCCTTTTTTTGTGAACTTGTTGCGGTCATGTGTGATTTTGATTAGATGGTCCAGCTGTGGGCCATCATAGAAACTAATTAGGAATAGACAAAACTACAGCTCTTCTTGTCAGATCAATATGCTTGGGCCTTTAGGGGACAACTGCCTTTCAATCTGTATAGCACGGTGGGGGAAGAGATGTGTCATGATTTCTGCATACATACGATACATACTCATTTATTTTATTTATTTATTTAGGAGGCTTCTATGCCTCCCCATTCGCCGAAGCCTCAGGGCGGACACTTTTTCAAGTGTTCTCCATTATATTCAAGCAGATGGATAGATACATTTTCACAATTTTGGTTGTAATTATTGACTGTCAGAACAGTGTAAAGTACTTGTTAGTTAATGGGCACATAGTCTCACAGGTCAAGGAAACTTGTCTAATGATATATGCTGTCACCCTTCTAAATTTCAGCTTTTATTTCCCAGCATTTCAGCAGTAAAAAAAACTTTTGATCTACATTGCAATATTAAACACTGTAATGAAACTTGCCATCTGCTGTGGTAAAGGCAAAATTGGTTTACTTGTCATTCCATCAAAAAAAAAAAAAAAAAAAAAGAGCTTACGCTATTCCCAGACCATACCTCTTTCACATGAGGAAATACCATTTGAAAACACCACCCTCATCCAGTGAGTTCCATTTTTCCGGAACTTTCCTCATGTGACATTCCTCATGACATTCCATGTGAGTGAGTGTACAGGTTGGTGAAGAAGGAATGTGTAACTCCAGCCCTCTTCTCTGCATACTCATCTGCATGGAAATTCTTGTCCTTTCAGTCAGTGCAGGTGAGTGTGTGGACTGACAGAGGTGAAATCGTTCACTTCCTTCCTCTTCTGTAGCCCACCTTGTAGAAGGCATTTTGCCCCAGCCTGCTGAGGAGCTAGAAGCCTGTATTTCCCTTTCTCTGCAACCAGCATGAAAATGAAGGCTTTAGCAAGCTAGTAACTTTTGTCAGCTTTTTAAAATGAACAGATGTGTTTTTTCTTTAATGTGTACATGTGTGACATCTTTGTCATCTCCTAATCTGAGCACATACATTTATTTAAATAATAAACATATGCACACTTGACTTGTCCAACCTGACTTAAGCGCAGTCAAAAAAGTATAAGGTGACTGCAATGCAGACCTAGCATATAAAAGTAACCCTCTCTACAGGGTGGGCAATGATGGGCACTTCCACACCTTAAATGCTTCACCCAGATCCCTTTTACCTTTTAGCACAGGTAAGCTGAATCTTTTTCTGCCTGAGGACCAAATTCCATTTAGAAGATCTCAAGGGCCACATTTCAGTGCTGAGCTGGGCAGAAGGGATTGGGACAAAAGAATTTAGTTGCAGTTGCAAGTAATTAAGCCTCAGGCGAGGCACACCAATTTTTTAGAATGGGAGAAACACCACACAAAATCCAGGAAATGACTAGTGGTTAAGGGAAGGGGTGAGGCCATTTGAGGAGTCCCAGGTGGGACTATAATTTGGTCACTGGATGGGCCAGATTAAGCCAGCAGGGTTGAAGCTCATCACCCTGTTTTAGCCCATGTCACCTTCATTTTTTTCTTTATTCACTGATAGCTAGACATATATGGCTTGGCTTTTTTATTGGGTAGTGGATTCTGAGGCATGTTGGATGCTGTGGTTTCTGGTGTGACTGTGGCATCTCTCAGAAAACCAGCATCTCTCTGGATCCTTTGCATACCCAAAGGTAAAGGTCTTGAAATGAAAGCAGAATGTTGACTAGGCCTGAACTTTCGTAATCAATGCAGCCAATGAGCAATATGATGACAGTGACACAGATGGTATCGGACAGATGGCTGGTTGCAGTTGTTTTCTCTAATCAGTGCAATCATTGCCTGTACTGTAGTACATCTAATCTCAGTATTTAAACACTGATATAAAAGTCATACTTTAAAATAAAATTATGTTGCATGTGTTTCCTTCCACAGATACAATCTGATGGAGGCTCCTATCCAACCTTAACATTTCATATAGATGAAAGAACAAGTCCACAGAATGCAATAGGATTTCTGTTACTTTCTGCTACAGTGGCTTTGGTTGTTTATGTTTTTGTCTCGAAAGAAAGACACAAGCAAACAAAGCCACATACTCCTAGCTATTTTCAGTTCTAATAGAAGACAAGCAGTGTACAATTTTTAAAAAAGACAACAAATCTGTTGGGTAATCACTGTAGGTTTTTACACAATAATATTGAAGATGTGAAACGAGCCTTTGACAGCAGCATAAAAGGTAGAATTCTCTGGATTCATTTTTGTTCTTCCATCCGTATTGTTTGGATATCGCTTTACAATATAGCAAGGTTGCTTCTGCAAAATATCCCTCTGTTAGTTAAAAATAAGTTCAATTACTAGGAGTTGTGTTGCACGCATTTACCCTTATCCAGAAATGGGTCACGTGCTACGAAGAACCACATGTGAGTTGCTTTATTGCATGAAGAACCTAGAAACTTTAAAGGTCATATAGATTAGATCAGAAACAAGATAGCAGTTTTTACAGACTGTGCTGACTGGAAAACCCTGCTGCTGCTATCAGAGAATAATTACCATCTGAGGTTGTAGCTCATTGACTCAGGGAATAGACATGTTCTCTGCCCAGGCAGAATGATTGGGTGGTTTTCCACATGTGGTTGAAAATTGTGTTCATTTGGTTACATGAAAGACAGATAATTGGATCTGCTCTTTTCTTCTGCATGCAGCAAGATCCTATGCAGTTGCAATGTCACAAGTGAAATAACTTCCTTGCATCAGAACAGTTGTCTTTGGTACTATTGTTACTATACCTGTAGGTACCTATAGTTGTGATCTCAAGTGAAGCAAACGCTGTTGAAACCCTTTGACTTTACTTATAAATAGTTATATTTCAGCTGTGTGGGAATTTGTCTACATTTATTTAGTGCATTTGTATGGCATCCCATAGCCCAAGGGCTTGCTTTACTTTTCACAAGGAAAGTTGAGGCTTCCTAGTTTTATTTATTTCTATATTTGTTGCTTTTTATAGTGCCCAAAACTGAGGCCTGCTGGGCACTTCACATACACATCTTATAACAATAAAATTCAGTAATATGATAAAACATAATATAAAACCTTTGTGTTGTATCCAATGTTAGCTGTACTTAGAGCAGACCCACTGAAATCAGTAGGATTACATTTGCCATGACTAACTTGCCCCATTCATTTCAGTGTGTCTACTACAAATGGTGCTATCATTTAACACCTTTAGTTCAAAGTAATTAAACCCAAAGTCTACCTTTAAATGAAGTAATTATCTCTTGGTGCCACAGCAAAGAGATGAAACAATATGCACAATTCTGATAAAGTCACATCTCTTTGAAATCAATAACATTAATTTTGCAGTTATAAGCCATTAGGTGGAACTCAGGCACATGCCACACCCCTTATTTTATAATCTGCAAAGCAGCGTACACTCAGGGTACATTTCTGTGCCTGTCTAGACTGAAAAAAGTCCTACAACTCCCAGCATTTCCCAGCCTCTTAATTACTTTACTCATTTTCAAATAGCATTAATAGTGCGCTGATTTGTAGCCAGGGATGTTTTCGAAACAACCTCCCTCTGTACTTAGAACTACCTGAATGGATTTCTAGTCTAATAACTGAAAGTCAGGTCAGCTCATTCACGACTTTAATTGTAAAGGTTCTGCTATGATTTGACACACAAAGCTTTATTCTAGGCTGTTTGTTTTATTACATGTAAAAGTAGTGTAAAGTTTATGCCAAAGTTTTCTGGGTGGTTCACAACATGTATTTGTGTAAATTTGTATATGCATAGATTAGGTTACCTGCCCATCAGCTTGAGTTTCTGCTCGATTATTGTGAACAATGACTTGTGGTTAGTAAACTATTTACTCTTCAGAAATGTGCCAATTCCAGATTACAGGCTAGTTTGTGAATCCTGGCAAGCACTGTATAATGTGGATGATTCTCACTGTGCTATCTTTGGAGTAGCTGTCCTCAGCTTGGTGCCCTGCAGAAGGGTTTCACTACCACCTCCATCATCCCCACCCACCAGGCCAGTGGCAATATTAGCAGTAGATGGAGGGAGTCATTGTCCAACTTGTTTGGAGGGTTCCAGGTTGGTGAAGGCTGCTTTAGAGTCTGATACAGAATTCAGAATGGCTGGATGAAGTGAGGCACATCAGAATGGCTGGAGAAATTGTAAATGAAAGGGAACACAGCTTTTTGGCTGAAGTTTCAGTACCTGGCATTCCCATTTAAAACTGATATCAGGTAGCAGGGCTTGGGAGGAGACTCTTCCTGAGAACTGGTACTAAATTTGTCTTCATTACCAGAACTGAGTGTTGTGCACATGTCATTTTCCACACAAATGTTATTTCTGTTTTTTTCCACAAGCATTATTAATTTTAGAGGCTAGAAGGGCATAGAGTATAAAACGTCAAAGGTGATGAAAGCTATGAAAAAAAAAAAAAAAAGAATGGAAGAATTAGTTCCTGAAGAGTAAACCAAAGGGGGAAGAGAAAAGAGTTGAGGACGGAAGAATGTTTTGCTGGGAAAGAGCCATAAGAGAGAGGCAGTTGCCTTTGTTCAGAGGAGGACAAGTAAGGGTCAACACCAAATGTACCAAGAAAACATCCTGCAGAACTGTGACTTACTGTTTCTGTAAAGAAGGAAGAGGCCTTTTTTGGGAAATAAGGGGAAATAGCCACCAAATCTTGGCCTTGAATAAGCCTTCCAGTGATCGAAGAAAGAAAATGACACTGCGGTGAGCTGGAAATGGCTCATGGACCTGGTGGAAGGGGGACGCAAAGCAACCCATAGCAAGCCCTGTCATCTGTCAGGCATACTGTGTGTTGCTTGCATAACAACCATCCTCCCATGTTTATTGCCCTAGTGTGGGTTGTCATGTTGTGTGGACTCGCCCAACATCTCTGTACAGCAGGAAGCAGAATCAATGAAACAATGGAGCTGTCTTGCTATCAGAAACTGAAATGGTGCTGAATGCGATTTTTCAACAGTAAAAGACTTAATACATGAAAATGGAAATACACCATCCAAAGCATAGTACAGACATTTCCTTACTGGATAGTCTTATGCAAGCTGCTGCTTCTTGGCATTAATTTCATCCCAAAGCCTCTAATTTGTAATAATAGGAGCCTTTCCTGCAAAGCTTTTAGGCTTATTCAAATAACGTGTGAAATGGTTTGAACACTTTGGAAAGGCACACACCACAGAAGCAGATTCATTAGAATTAAAAGAGAGCGTCTAACTTTTAAAAATTCTCTTCTGCCTTTCACAAGTTTCACTGCATCCTGTTTAGGTCCAGTATTACTGAAGAATGAGTTCCCAGAGGTCATCTCTTGCATGTCTCTCATAGATTTTGGACAAAGTTGATTTCTTTTAATCAAACAATCTCTGGAACTGCAACGGCTGGAAAAGTCCTTTCCTGTTTTTCCTTCTCGTGCAGCAAGAACATACCTTCTGAGGGTTTTTTTTTTTTTTTTTTGTGGGGGGGCATGGTGGAACAAATCTCTTAATTTAACCTCTAATGATGTTTTAAAAGTTAAACTATTCTTTCCATTTGGACACACAGTTCCCTTTTCTACAGTGAATCTCCCAAAAGTGGGAAAGATTCCCCATTCCTTGCTGTTTTCTTTTGGAAACTAAAATGAAATAACAATTATTATTATTATTATTATTATTATTATTATTATTATTATAACATTTCTATTATGTTGAGCAAGGTGGGTAAATATTTTATATATGCTTTCCCAGATATACTACAGCATTCTGTGGACTTTCTCACCCTCTTATACTGGTTTTTTTGTAACCCTTTTTGTATATTAGCCTTTCTATGCAAAAATGTCATTTATGCCATCCTATCAAAGCAAACTACTCAGCTGTAAATTCCACCATGTTCAGTAGGGCTCACTCTTTAGTAAGTGCTGCTTGTGCCTTTAGAATTGCAGCTGGTGCCTTGTCTGACTAATCTAGACAAGTTCTTGGCTCAGATGAAAGTTTACCTTGCATTCTCTCTCTATCCAGGTATGAATGCTGCTGTTCGAGCTGTGACTCGCATGGGAATATATATTGGAGCTAAAGTGTTCCTGATCTATGAGGTTCCGTTTTTTTCTTCTTCTACTCCAAAATGCTTCCCACCCTCTCTCCACTGTGGTGGTTATTGCTTGTAGTAATGTCTGGGAGACTGTGAGAGGGTGAAAATTAAAATGGAAATGATCATTTTTATCTTTTTCTGTGTAGTGGGACAGTGAGGTGGCATGTTTCTGCCCTACCCACTAGGAACACCTGTCTAAGCTAAGCATTGTCTGCTAGATGTGCAGAGTTGTGATGTTTGTAGGGGGTGCACAAGCATATATTCCAATGGGTGAAGGCCCAAATTCATAAGTTTTTTTAAAAAAATCAATAGGTTATTATTTTCAGACTGATCCACATTGGATTATATACATGTACACCCAATTTAGACTTTTGTGGGCATCTGTTGGTAGGGTGCCAGAGAAGGCAAAGCAAGAAGGCATGAACTTACTTTCCCACCACAGATGGAGAGGCAGTAAGCACGGAGAAATGTGCAAAGTGGAACACAAGATGCTGCTTTTTACTGAGACAGGCTGCTGGTACATCTAGACCAGTTTCATTAACTCTGATTGGCAGCAGCTCTCAAAAGTGTCAAGCAGGAATTTTCCCAGCGCCTGCCTAGAATGGCCAGGATTGAAGCTGGGACTTCTGCATCCATAGGAAGTTCTTTGCCACTCAACTATGGCCTCTTCTCTAGTGGACTTGGGTCTTGGTGACAGTAATCAGTCTCTTTCAAGGTCAGGGCTCAGAAACTTCCCTGGCAAGGCACATAATTAAGAACCATAACTGATTAGAAGACAGCATTCTGTGCACCCCAAAGTCCACCAGATACAAAGACTAATTCTGCAAATTTATTGCAAAAAGAATCAGTATCCTTAAACCATTTTGTGAACTTGGGAAGGTCAAAGTACACACTCTGGAATCCAGGGGACAGTTTCTAGAACTAGATAAATAGAAAAATCAACTGATGTGGATGTGATCCAAGGGCTTGTGTCCACGTGGATCCTGATCACCTCTATCACCATTTAAAAAGTAACCTCCATCATTCATTGAGATTAAGGAACTTTCTTAATTTTTTAAAAAGTGAAAACAGGAATCTAGGACATTCGGTACATTTGATGCCAAATTTCACAACTTGTAGTATGATTACTCATGCAGCAAACTAATCTTCATGGGTATAATTGTGTCACAATTTGACCAGCGATCAGCAATGTGCGTTTTCTGGAAAAAATTCCTGTGCAAAGTAAGCATAGCTTATTTGCATCAGAACATTTTCAGTTTGCATCAGAAGATTTTCCAATGCCCTGGAGAGTAATCTAATGTAGCATGTTTGCTGAATTCAAATAAAACAAACAACGTAACTTAGAAAGTAGCCCATGCCATAGTACAAGCCTGCTATTCGACCTGAAACATCATTGCAGGAAAGTTAGACCCACTTAATGTAATGTAGATATTATACTATGCAGAAAGTTTATTGGAATAGAATAAATTTGCCTATATTATTTAAAGATGGTTTGGAGAACTGATAAACTCTAATTGTACCTTCTCTAACCTGTTGCCTTCCACATATGTTGAACTACAACTCACAGCATCCTCCAATCAGTATAGGTGGCTGGGCATCGTAGTGAAATTAATCTAAACAGTGCTGTGTTCTGAGAAGACTGCCCTAATAAAGTTTAGCAACTCAAAGAACTGCATATATACTGACAACCACTTAATTGCAACAGAATTCTGTTCTCTTCCACTAGGTTTTTTGGGATACATTCAGTGTGGGGCTACTTATTAGGTCTGTTTTGCTCTGAGATATATATCTATTTCAGTTCATTGTTAAGCACCAAGCAGGGAGTTGGGGTTGGTGGTCCCTTCCAGAACTACTCTTCTGTGTTTCTATGTTCTACTATCTCACATATTTGCTAGGGATAACACTACTTACAACTTTAAAACTGCCAAGCTTGTATAATACTCTGTTTGCTGATAGTATCCATTCATTGTTAGTAATGAGCATGACAAGGAAACATTTCTGCAATAAAGACTGGAAAAATGTGATCACTGCCAATGATGACATAAATTGCAAGTAGAGTTCAGAGCACGTTTTTATTGACATCACATGCACAGGATTAAGGGGCAGGCAAAGGGCAGCAGGAAAGGTGGAATCATTATCAAATTAGATTAAATATCACCTAAGATCACAACAAAAACAGACAATTGCCTGACATACAAAAGTCATTATAGTATAAGAACTTGGCAAGATGTTCTACAAACAGTAAATACTCTGTACCTTATAATATTTTTGCAGTTGTGCAACAGGAAGTTAACTCTGATATATCTATCAAAACCAGAAGTCCATTAGTAGATTCTTTGAAAGGAAAAGTAACGGAATGGCAGCAATGAGCTAAACAGGCCAGAACAGCTTCATCCTTAGCAATAACTTTGCTCCATAATTCCATGATAAATACTGTCCTGATCGGTTTTTGCAGGCAGGCAGTTGTAAGAAAGTGTTCAGGCTCAGCTAAGCATGGATGGCCATTCAGATGTTGCTGGATTCAGGCTCGCATCAACCAGCATGCCCAGTGGTCAAGGACAATGGAAGCTGTAATCCATTCAGGGTTGCAGGTTGTTTCAGTTATGTAGTTTTTCTCATGAGCTTCTTGGAAGGCCCAAGAAATCCAGTTATTTTTATATCCAGTAAAAACCCTTGCTTTCAACTGTCAAGATCATGCGCTGTATTAAAGAAATATTATGATGTACCAAGTATCAGTCTTTGTACTGTGTGTTGCTAAATTCTTCTAATACTGTTCTTTCTGTATCCAAGACCTTCCCATGTAATTGTCACCCTTCGTGTGGTGGCAATTTTGCAAAGAAGCAACTGGGTGGTATGCAGACAAGAGTTGGAAGGTGCTATGTCTTTTCTGTGTTGTGCCTCACACAGCCCTATTGTCTATATTAGCTTTTAAAAGGTAGCCTACAGCATTTTGTATATATGTCCAAAAGGACCCTTAAGCCTCAGCCTGTACAACATATAGTTTTAATGGAGCATGTAGCAAGCTTTTCTGGTGCAGCAGTGCCTTCACATCGGTGTCTTTCCCTTTTGCAGGGTTATGAGGGGCTGGTGGAAGGAGGAGAGAATATCAAGCAGGCAACCTGGCTGAGCGTGTCCAATATCATTCAGTTGGTAAGGCCTGGAGGATTGTTTTTTCCTGACCCCCCTGCTGTACAGGTCAAGAGATCCCATAATGTCTTCCGTCTCAGACCAGACTATGGCTCTGTATGACTACAAAGATTACAAAACTGATTTGGCTCTTTTATTGGTTTCATTAAGGTGTACATTTTTATGTTTGGGTGATAAAAGTATGGATGTTGGTGAGACATGCTGTCGCCAGTCTTGTATCTCCTTCGCTGTTTGCTGTGCCGCTCCAAAACTGCTCATTTGCCATGAGGCTTAATGTGTGATTTTGGGCCAATCAGTGACTCACAGTGTAACCTCTCTCAGAGGGTTGTCGTTGTGAGGATAAAATGGGGACTATATGAGCTGCCTTGCATTCCTTGCAAGGAGACAACATGCAGAATATAGTTGCAATGTAATAAGATTTGAGGGGAGAAATCGGGGATTTGAGCAAGAGCTTATGCAGTGCATGTGTTCTAGCCTTACTTTATCATATGGTCCCCGTTGTGTGTGAGGTGAGGCAAGGCTTCTCCTCACACAGGTCACTTAGCATAATCTTTATGGCAGGTTCCCACATGACAGATTCCCAGGGGTCATTTTCTTAGAGAAACAGCAAAGAAGAGTTGAAATAGGAGAAAGAAGTTGTTGGATAAATTTCCTAATCAGTTGCTTTCCATTTCTTTTCATCCCTGATGCATGCCCCAATCTAAATTTCCTGAGCATGAATATTGCATCCTTTCTGCTATCCATATAGAGCAACAGTGACAACTTTCCAGACAGACCCTTCTAATTTCATCTGACTCCCTGGCATGTTTAAATCACCCATTTCCTTTCACCTTTGCTATTTCCCCTTTCTGTTCCATTTCACAAAAGATCACACAGTACCTTTTGCCCTGTTGCACAACAGAAACACGTTATAAGAAGTGGGTGGGTATGATTAAAACATTCCTTGCCTATGCTAGTTCTCCTTTCATGCCAGCCTGAGTGATATGAAAAAACTTGCCAAGGCACACTTTGAAAATAGCTGTGTCATACATTCATAAGCGTGTTTGATTTTTGAGAAGTTGCTAAACTGACCTTTCCTAATCTTCTGGTTCAAGAAAGGGTGCTTTATTACAAAGATGATCTATAGGGTTTTGTCAGTTTTTATAATACTCTTCACCCCCACCCCAAAGCTGGTATATGTGTTTAAAAGGGCAATTTAATGGCAGCTGTCTCTTCCCCACCCCAGGGGATATGAATCAGGGTTGCTGTTTGAGTAACTAGGACATACTCCTAGATTTCTGGTCCATACCATAATCTAAAGAATGAGAGGGCCTAGGGCCCTTGCTGAGCCTTGTGGGATTACGTTCATTGGTGTTTCTTGAAATACGAGCCATACTGATGGTAGCTTGGTGGGGAAGCGACTTTGAATCATAGAATAGTAGAGTGGGAAGGGGCCTCTAAGGCCATTGAGTCCAAGTCCTTGTTCAATGCAGAATTACAAGTTAAAATATCCCTGACACATGACTGTCCAGCTGCCTCTTGAATTCCTCAAGTGTGGGAGAGCCCACAGCCTCCCTAGGTAATTGCTTCCATTGCTGTACTGCTCTAACAGTCAAGACATTTTTCCTGACATCTAGTTGGAATCTGGCTTCCTGTTACCTAAGCCCATTATTCTGTGTCCTGCACTGCAGGATGATTGAGAAGAGATCCTGGCTCCTTTCTGTGTGGCAGCCTTTCAAGTATTTGAAAAGTGCTATCATATCCCCCCAAGTAAGAGCCACTTCTCAGATATTTTAATAAGTACATAAACATCCCTTTGCATGAGCAGAAAGTGCTTGTGTGTTCTGGTGAGCGCTGATATATCAGCTAGGAAAGACCCAGTTGTGCACTCCCAAGAGAGGTTGCCTGGCCCTTAGTATGACCTGGGTTGCATGTAACAAGGATTGTTTAACCCATAGTTGGTTGGGACCACACATAAGTGAGAGCGCTGCCTCCCACCTGCTTGCCATTTCTGCTTTGCATCCAGTTTAGCAAACGGCCCAGACATGCCTCATTCATGGATCGTTTGTCTCATGTCTGAACCGGATACTTTGGGTTGTTGAGAAAGAAACAATCCAGAGAACAGCGCTTTAGACATTACAGCACTTGGTTCAGACATTGTGCCAATGTCTGGTTGGTCATTCAGTATGAACCAAGTCAACATGCTCATTTCCAAGGAAGGCCATTTTTATTTTTTCAGACATTTTAGCCCTACTGTTTTGTGTTTAAATATGTTACAATGTTTTCAGATCTTTTCCTGGTGCTGGTGTTTTACTCTGGTTTTCCTGATGTTTTACTCTGATGTTACTTTTTTATACGTTGATGTTTTTGTAGCAAGTTTTATCATGCTGTACTTAGGGTTTTAATTCATGTAAATTGCTTAGAGAGCTTTGGTTATTCAACAGTATAGAAATGTAAATAAATAAGCAAGCTGCACAGTTGCACAGCTTTCACATACAGCTCAGAAAGAGCTGGGATTCTGTTTACATGGAAGAAATCTATAGTTCATACACATGTGTGCCCTATCTGACAGGCTATGTATGCTAGCTATACTTTGCTATCTATTCCCAAACACAAAATGTGTGATGAGAGCAGGCCCTTATAGTTAAAAGTATGTGTGCAGTACAAGTACGCATTGCTGAAACCCCCCAATAGCTTCCTGTACTGTGTATCTGTGTGGAAATACATTTCTTGAGTATATTAAGGTGAAGCAACCCTGCTTAGTTGAGGAACTCAGAGTCCAACCAGGAATCTTGGATGAGTGCCAACAATTCCTAGTTCGTGACTGTACTCTCATTTTCTTCAGCCTGGCTTAAAAGATCCATGCTACCTCCTGGTTCCTGAAATCTCAGAAACTGTTGCAGCCTGGGTCTAATCTAGCTGTCCTCTGCTTTGTCTGGGCATAGCCAGTCAATCTGGGGCAGTACTGTGGTTTTCAAACCATTGAGCTGGAATTGCTTCCCAGGTGGGATCTGAGTGTCAGGAACTTGTCTGAACTGGATCCTCTCAGCCCACTCACAAACTTGTTTGTGTTGTTTTTCCCCTTCTTCTTAGAGCCTTTCCCAGTTTGATTGATGTGTCTCCTTTCCCTCAGGTAACATTCTGGTATTGCATGGCTCTGCAGGGTTATCCCCTCTTAACTTTCACCCTTTCTTGTCTACTTGCTGCTGTTAACAACAGCACCATTTCTGATGAACATAAGCTTAAATAAGGCCAGCATGCTGTGTGCAGTGTTCTCTCTCTCTTGCCAATCCTAGAACCTTGCTCTGAAAGAAGATGAGAATGGACTTCTGCCAGTTTCCTGGCTGCTTGTACATTTCCTTAACTCATTGTGACAAGACTCCAACCTATAAGCTAACTGTGCTAACAGCATGATTTCCCAGCCCCAGACTTTTTTAGCCCTTTGCTGTCTGAATTTCCATTAGCACCAACAACTTGCAGTCATCATCTTTGCATTTCTTGATCCCGCTTATTTTTGTTCTCCAGAGTGACATGCGCTGATCATAATCCAAAAATTTAGCTTGATAGAAGTAGGTTTGTTGTGCTTATCTGATAGCTTCCATCCGTCTCCTTTTCAAATGGGGTCAGGTATTAGGTACCCAACATTCCCCCATCACACCAGCAGAATCAGCTGAAAAGCAGTTCTTCTTACAAAGGATCAAAACCAGATATGATTTCAAGTGAACTAAAAGACATCTCAGTATACTCAGCACAGGTCAAACTTCACTGGGCAGCAGCTATGGAAGTGTTACCCTCCACATTCCCCTAGTTTCATTGCCCACGGAAATCCCTTTCAAACTGAGAATTAGCTTAGTGTTCCATCCATATATCACATTAGCAATTCGCATTATCCCATCTATCAGAGCTGCCTGTGCTGTTAAGTTGCTGTGTAAATGCTGCAACAGCAGTTCTACCAAAGACAGTTGATGCAGCAGCGTAACTTGTCAGAGAAGCAGACGTACTGCCTGGAAAGTTCAGCATCTCTTCCAAGCAGTTCTGCTGTGTACTGGTTTATCAAAATATTCCCTTGTCTTGAGTCAATCATACTTTATAGCTACTGGTACAGCAGGACAGTAATAAGACTCCTGCACACACCCCCCCAATCTTACATGGCATGTACTTAGTGTAATTAGAGGATACAGGATTTCAAATCTGCTTCAATCGAGCTGCAAGGCCATTCTTGCTTAAGAACATAAAAAGAGCCATGCTAAGTCAAACCAATCTGTCTGTTCCACCATTCTGCTCACACCGCAGTCAATGAGCTGCCTGCAGGAAGCTCACAAGTTGCACATGGGAAACAACAACACCCTCCCACTTGCGCCTCAATTGATTTCCCACTGGAACTGCCAAACCTTCAAAAGCTGGAGCGCTGCTGTTGACATTCGGGCTACTCTCTGCATCTGTTGCCGATTCTTAATTTGTGATGTGAAGCTGAGCTTCCTTTCTCATTTCCTCCTTTGTCTGAAGGGTGGCACCATCATTGGCAGTGCCCGCTGCAAAGCTTTCACTACACGGGAGGGCCGCCTCCAGGCTGCCTACAACCTGGTCCAGCATGGTATCACCAACCTGTGTGTCATTGGAGGAGATGGCAGCCTGACTGGCGCAAATATCTTCCGCACAGAATGGGGTGGCCTTTTAGAGGAACTGGTCAAGGAAGGTACGTGTGAACCTTACCCTCACATTCTGTTACCAGTGCCAGCCGCGTCCTTGATATAGGCAGCTCCTTCTGCCAGCCTCAAACTTTATCCAAGTAGTGACTCCAGTGGTGAATGCCAACAGTTTAGAGCTACAATGAGACCTTCTAAGAACAAAAGAGAGAGATCGGTATGTTTGGGGGAACATGAGGATTGCAAAAGTATATAAATAAAAATCCTACAAGGATAATCCGCTCCCTTCCTCAAAACTGCTGTTTGAGGACCAGCTAGACCCATGAATGTCAATTGGAAAAGAAATTAAAAACAAAGGATTTAGGATAGAAGAGTGAAATAGCCTAATTAGCCCCTTTAAGAACTTCTAGTTTCCTGAAGGAGGAGATGCCTCCTTTGCTAGGATCCTCCTAATCCAGAGCACTTCTGTTATGAGATGAGAATACACCACATCTTGTGGAAGGTCCTAATTGGAGGTATTTTGTTCTGGATGGGATTTCATCTCACAGGGTTATTATTTTACTCACTTCTGATGGAAAAGACTGGATGCCCCTTTAAGGGGGAACTGTAAGTGGGGCACAAGCACAATTTGCCCATTGTACCCTTGTCCTTCCAAGTGTCATTTCAGTGATGCTAGTAAGGTATTCTATCTCGACTTGTGAAATGCCGAGACAACCATGTTGCCAGTCATCCTTAGGTCAACAAATGCGTAAATGGAGTACTTAAAAAAAAAAAAAAGTTTCCTGAATGTCAGGGAAAAGTCATTGTTGGACTTTATCGCATTAAAATCTGATGACATATGCATTTTCATACAAAAATGGTACAGCAGGGGAGCGCTGAATCTTCAGTTTCCTTTTTCAACCCCCACCTAAAATGAGGGTTAGCTTGGGAGTCAAGAAGTGCTAGTATTACCGACCAGTAAAAAATTGTTGCCAGCTCCTCCCTACCCCAAGGGGAAAGATGACCCCGTGCTTAATCAAAGCCAGCGTGTGATCAGAGAAAAGTTTCTTACCTTTTCCAGTGCTAAGATTGGGGCTGGGGTGGGGAAGAACAAGCCCCTGTCCTGCAATAACTCAGTGGTCCAGATTTGAGTTTCATTCATGTAATTTCATTTATTACATTTTTATACCACCCAACAGTCATAGTTCTCTGGGTGGTTTACAAAGAATAATACTATGTTGTAAAAATACAATATTGTGTAATATGGTATTATATAATATGAAACAGTGTGTGAGGTTACCAAATTGTTCATCTTCAGCATGAGCTCATCTTAGCTTCCCTCTTACCCTTGTAAGAGGGAGAGCAAAATTATTGAAGTGTGGGAGTCAGTCATCATTACTAATGTTGCGAGTAAAATCCATGCAACCACACTTCAACTGCCAGTAACAACAGCAAATTACCATGCTGTCCAGAAGACATATATTTTCCTAGGCACAATAATCAATCTATAAGTGTTTAGAAAAAAGCATGTCAGTAAAAACTTTTTTGAAGCCATTTCGTATGCACGATATTTCATGTCCTCTTTCACGCCATTTCCCCAGCTTCCCACCTCTTTTCGCAGTCTTTGTTGTTCTTACCATTCCAACCTTATGTAAAAGTTCCTCACTCTTGCTATAAATCTCCTGGATTCACTGCATAGTCATTTCTTCTCCCATGCCACAGTGGACATAACAACCAAGGTGAATATTGAACAAACAGAAGTAAAAGCAATATTTAGTTCAATAGAAACACTCACAGTGGGGCCAAGACTTCTGAATCCAGTTGCATTTCTTTTTGGAAAGCTTCAATCTGCAAGAAATCAAGGCTAACTGGATATGGAGAACCCTGAACCTTTAAAAATAATCTTTACATGAGTTTTTTAATGATTCTGCCATCAAGCTCGTATTAAGCAATATCAACGTGGTGGAGCATTTTTCAAGATGCCATTGCTAATGCAGTCAGATTAGAACCTTAATTTCAGTCTCATATGAAAACAGAAAACACTTAAGCAATTAATAACTTCCAGTTAGGCTAATTCCATCCTGTCCTCTTGCCCTCCAACCAACTTTGGAAATAAACCATTCCATTGTGTTATTCTTTTGATTCATGTTCCTCTGTTAATTCTTGCCTTTTCAGAGAAGATCACGGAAGAGGTTGCTCAGACCTACTGTCATTTAAACATTGTGGGCCTGGTGGGCTCCATTGACAATGATTTCTGTGGCACAGACATGACAATTGGCACAGACTCTGCCCTGCATCGTATCATGGAGGTGATTGATGCGATCACCACGACCGCTCAGAGGTGAGTATAGGATGCCTCAGGCCATTTCTTCCCCATCTTCATTCCACTCACACGTGTACACTGTGCCTTGAACTAGCTGGAGAGAAAAGCAACCTGTAATAACATCCTGCCCTATAGCAGCATTGTTCCTGGATGTTGGTAGTTGTAATTAAACGGCTTCTCTAGGCTTGAATCCTATCTAGAAAGGCTCTAATAATTGAGTCTGTATTTTGGGCTTTTAGAGTAAAGGCCTCTTGTTTGTAGCAGGGGTGGGGGCAGATATCTTCATCCAAGGCAGCACTGTTGTTGCTTAGACATTTTATCTGTGTGTAGGGGGCAGGCACATGTGCATGCGCTTTCTCTCTCTGCTCCATTTTTCAGCTCCTGCAGTGGAACTTTCATGCCATAATACTTTCCCCAGCAACATGAATAAGGCCCAGTTTCCTTTCTTGGCTAAATGACACCACTCATCTTCACAGCCAAGCAGCCTCCTACATCTTCTTAAAATAGCTGTCCACTCCCCCTCTCTTGGGCTGAAGTGTGCAATCCTACTTTTTTGCAGAGAAAAGGGGCAGCAACCCCTTCCCCAGCAGCCAATATGGCTTGTTTTTCAACCTAGTCTTAGTTCACCCTGGTAATCAATTGAAGTATCCTGATGTTGACCCTTTGCCTAAGGGAGAAGGTGGGATCCTGATGGTGACATCATGCTGAGTTCCTCCAAGGCCCAGTGTGATGGCAAGGGCTTGTTCTGGTCATGCTGAGCCTTGCTCAAAAGCCAACAGGATGCCTACGAGTCCTATGATGTCCTGCTGTTTGCTGGCCCTTTCCAAAGTGAAGGGTCTGGAGGATGTCCTTACTTTTCTTCAAATAATGCATTTAGTATTGGCAAGCTGGTAAGACCCTAGTGGCCTCCTGTGTCTGCTCCCCCCATCCAGCTTGTGCATGTGTGCATGTGTGTGTGTGTGTGTGTGTGTGTGTGTGTGTGTGTGTGTGTGAGAGAGAGAGAGAGAGAGAGAGAGAGAGAGAGAGAGAGAGAGAGAGAGATAGATACACACTAATGGAAAGATGCAGTTTGGGCACACATTGAGTGAACCTCTGAATAAGCCCCTCCCCTCTAATTTTGTCTTACAGCCACCAGAGAACTTTTGTGCTGGAGGTGATGGGCAGACACTGTGGGTAAGAAAAGAGCTTTGTTGTCTGTTAAATCAAGGTAGGATTGGGGAATTCCACTTTTCTAGGATCAAACCCCAAGAGGTGTGTGTGCAGTATGAACAACCTCCCACCCCAAATGTAGGGAGTTGGGAGTTATTTTGGCTCCTGGGGCCATTTATTTCACCTTGGTTGACACCTAGGCTTGCTTTTCACAAGCTTTCTTCTTGCTCTCCAGGTACCTTGCATTGGTTTCAGCTTTAGCTTCTGGAGCTGACTGGCTTTTCATCCCAGAGTCACCCCCTGAAGATGGCTGGGAGGATTTTATGTGCGAGAGGCTTGGGGAGGTGAGTGGTGGTGTATGTTACTCAGCTACATAATCTTGCTCTAGATACCACGAGTGAAAAAGAGTGCGATAGTTTGGTTTCATTCACTTCTACAATGAAATGTCTGTCTAATGGCCCCATTACAATTGAAGGGATCCTGTTTCTCTAGAACAGGGGTGCAGAATCTTATGTCTGGCGACCAAACCTGGCATCGTAGGGTTACCAAAGGGGCCATACTGCTTTCTCCTGACCACTGAATTCTTGAGGGTTTCCTGGGTTCTGTGCAGACTTCCCCCATTCTAAACAGTTGAAGTGTATCTCCTAAGCTTAATGGAGGTAAGAGCCATGAGCTACAATTTACTGGTATTTGGGCCCTGTCCCTTTTGTCTCTGGCCCTGCCCAGCACTGTGATACAGCCCCTCAAATGTTTGCTGAAATGGAATTCAGCCCTTGTGCCAAAATTGGTTCAGCAGCCCTTCTCTAGATAGCTTAGCACAGACTTCCCCAGCTTCATGCCCTCCAGATATATTGGCTTGCAATTCCCATCACTCCTGATGACCACTCTGGCTAGGAATGATGAGAGTTGCTGTTGAACAACATCTGGAAGGCACCAGGTTGAGGAAGACCAGGTCATCAGAATCCAGGCTTCCCTATTAATGTATGGTACACTATTCAAAAGTGACTTTGGAGATGTGTTCATGCTTCTTGAAAACCTTCCTTTGTGTATCTTCTGTGCACATAAATATGGGTGGTGCTGGGTAATAAAAGCCAGGCAATGGATCCATGGAAAGAGTGGCAACATAAGATCTTGGAGCGTTGTAAATGCAGTTGTAAAGGATCTACAACTACCCAGCATCCCTTTTTCCATCTTTCTCAGGATGTAGGAAATACAAGCTCCTTGAGGAAGGTGGGTAGGAAGTTCAGGATCTCGAGCCTGGGGTGCTAATGTCACAATTGTGAGAGATTGCATAGGACTGAGTAATGCTAGGTTTGTTTTAGCATAGCTTCTTGCCTTTGCTTGATGGCTCAATTATTGGCTTCCATACTTTTATTTGGACAGGCACGGAGCAGAGGATCCCGACTGAATATCATCATCATTGCTGAAGGTGCCATTGACAAGAATGGAATGCCCATCACCTCTAACTATGTAAAGGATGTGAGTGACTAATTAAATGGGGTGGATCAGAACAGAGAAAATGACAATGGTGCCACAGTTCTCCATGGGGAAATAGTTTTGCAGGTCTTTCCAGTTTCTCAAAATATCCTCAAGAACAAAGATTTCCTTTAAAACTTGGCCACAGCCATTTGGGTTTCCTGGAGTTTGAGAGATTTGGATCATTTGTCCTGGGACTCAGGAGATCCAGCTTCTAGTCCCTCTTGGCCATGAAGCTCACGGGCCACTCTGAGGCATTCACTGAGCCTCAGCCTAACCTACCTCACAGTCTTACTGTGAGAATAAATGGAGAAGGGAAAGTTTGTGCATACTGCTTTGGGCTCCTTCGAGGAAGGGTAGGCTAGTAAATGTTGAAATATATTTTCACTTCTTTTCTTCTCCCCTTTTTGATCAGCTGGTTGTCAAACGTCTTGGCTTTGACACACGCGTAACTGTGCTTGGCCATGTGCAACGTGGTGGGACCCCCTCAGCATTTGACCGTGTCCTGGTAAATATCACTTCTTTCAAAAGCTAAACTTTGCAGGGTTCAAATAACAGCACCCTAATCTTTCAGTTCAGTTGATGTGGAAAGTTAGGAGAGACCTGAGCACTGTGAAAAAAGCAGACTAGGCACACAAGCCCTGCTGCCATGCAGAAAGCAGCAGTTCACAGAGGTCCTGCATTGTCCCCTCTGACAAAGGACTGGAGCATCTTCTTTGTGAGGAAAGAGGACCATGTCTGGGACTGCTAGGAGGAGGCCTGATAGAGATATACAGAATTATGCATGATGTGGAAAAGGCAGAATTTTTTCTTGCTCTCTTGTAATACTAGAACGCAGAGTCATCCCATGAAGCTGATTGGTGGGACATTCAGGACAGGTAAAAGGAAGTGCTGCTTCACACAGCCCATAGTTAAATGATGGAATTTGCTTTCACAAGATACAGTGATGGCCACCAATTTGGATGGCTTTAAAGGGGGACTGGACAGATCCGTGGGGGATTATTCTATCAGTGGCTACTAGTTCTGATGGCTGTATGCTTTCTCTGCCATCAGAGGCAGTAGGCCTATGTGCATCAGTTACTGGGGAACATGAGGAGGAACACTGGATGCACACCTGTCATAAGAATATAAGAAGAGTCCTGGTGGGTCAGACCAAGGGCTCCTCTGGTCCAGGACTCTGTTCACACAGTGGCCAACCATCTGCCTCTGGAAAATATGCATTTAGGATATGAGGACAGCAGCACTGTCCTACATATGATCCCCAGCAAATGGTGTACACTGGCATTCTGCCCCTGATATCCTGATGATGTTGCTTATGCACCCCTCAGTCTATTGTTTAATCAGTTTCTTTTGAATTAGCCTTCTAAATTTCCAGGATCACATCCTCTTCAGTGGTGCCAAGGTGGGGCAGTCTTCACTTGGTGCAGGCAGAGGATCAGCTTCCAAAGACATCCAGGGCATCCAAGCTGGTCCTGCCTCATATCAGTCAACAGGTTCTCAGCAGAGTCTGGGACACTGAGAGGGATGGAAAGAATTTGTTTTTCGTATTCCTCTCATGCTCTTATTTTGGATTGGGATTGGGCTGGGGAAGAGAGGCTTTGAATTAGATTTGTTTTCTTGTTGTTTCTGACTCAGCTGCATCTCTAGAGGTCTTGTCTCATTCTTGCAACACTGAAGTGGAGTAGCTCCTTACTTCACTCCCAGCCCATTAGTGAGTGGATAATTGCATCAAAAATTCCAGAGTCACAAGAGAAATCTGGAAGACTATGTAGTTTTTTTCCTGCATTCATAGGATATAACAGCCTTCCCCAGCTGAGTGCCTTCTGGATGTGTTGGACTTGCTAGCTGGAGATACTGAGAGTTGTGGTCTGACACATCCAGAAAATGCCAGGTTGGAGAAAGCTGGATTAGAGATTTTGAAGTCTGGGGACACCCTTCTGTCCTGTTGCCTCCATATTTTCTTTTTCTGACATGGTCCATAGATGCTTTGTTTTGCTTTTAAGAACATTTTAGGAGTCTGGCATCCCAGTGTCTCCAGAGCCTGTGGTTTGGAAGAGGTTCATTTTGAGTTCCTCGCAGAGTTTTGCAGTGTCATCTTTGGTATCTTAGCAAACTGGCCCTGTCTGAGAGCAAGAGGAAGCACTGTTTCAAAAGTGAATACTGCTCCAGCCTGGCGCCACCAAGAATGAGACTTGGCGGGCAAGAGTAATCGCCCTTTCTTCTTTAGACCAGTAACCCAGCTGAGTTGCATAGCCATCTGGCTGTACCCTCTATTTCCTTTTGAGGGAGTGGTTCTTTGGACGTATTAAACAATATCTGCCAATGTAGTTTGGGGAAACAGCTGCAGTGAGCAGGTGTCAGCCAACACTACAAAACATAACTGGGGAAAAGTGAGCGATTGTGTGCCAAAATCCCGTCTTCACTCCAGTGGGTGAGGGCCTAGAAGTGGCATATTTGTTTGCAGAAAAACTGTGAAGGCTGCCTCTTCCCACCACTCCAACCCATATTCACCACTCAACCCATATGCCAGTCTCTATCGTGGCTCCATCTCCAAGACAGACTGTTCCCCGTTAGCATTTCATTGCAGAACCTTGCCTCTTGGAGATTGCCCTTTGCAGTATTGTGCTAAGCACGTTCTGTTAGTCACATGTTGCTACTGATGCAGTGGAATGCAGAGCGCAGGTTCCTGTCAACAACATGACCTGCCCAGCTTTGGGTCATCATGGTTTCCAGCAGTACATTTTTATTTTTAAGAGGCTAAGGCATGAATTTCTGTACTTTGTGAGGCCCCAAAGCCTCTCCATGTAACAGAATCACAGGAAAACACAGCATGCAGCTTAATGTCCACGTTCTATGTATCTTTCTATATGTGTACATGTTTCGCTTTGCCCCGTCCATGAACCATGCAATGGCAGCTCAGTAAACGCCAACTGTGAACCAGTCCCTTCACGAGAAATGTGCTGTGTGTTTTGTAGAGCAGCAAAATGGGCATGGAAGCTGTGATGGCATTATTGGAAGCCACACCAGATACACCAGCCTGTGTGGTGAGTCTGTCTGGGAACCAGTCAGTGCGCCTGCCCCTAATGGAATGCGTACAAGTGGTAAGTACTTCACAAGCCCACAGAAGCTGAGTGTATTCACAGTAAAGAGTCATGGCTTGGTTCTTCTCTGAGGATTTAAGACAGGGGTGTTCAATGTGAGGCCTGTGGGATAAATCTGGCCCACCTGATGGTCTTACTCTGGCTCCTCAAGGTGCCCTAGATGTGGCCACACCCCAGTTTCCCCAGCTGCCCAAACATTTAGTAGATAGCAAGGTTGTCACATTTCCCCCTATTCCTAAAGGTTAAAGCACTTCTTCTAAGGCTTAGTTACTGGCATACAGAAGCAAGTGCTTTGACTTTGGCCCACCCACCACTGACGGCCACCCTTGAGAGCTTCTCTGAACTTAAGTTGGGCACTTAGGCTGGGAGAGGTTCAGCACTCCTGGTGCAAAGCCTCTACCTTGTATATAATGTGGGAGCCTGATAGCTAATACGCTGTGCAGCCAATTGGCAATTGAGTAGGCACACACTAGCTGCTCTGAAAGTGTGTTGTTATTCTTAAGCTGTGCCAGGAATGTGGCATTTGAGATGAAATATGCAAAATCTCAGTGTTCGTTAAAGTTGCAGAAAGTAATTTGAAAATATGTTGTTAGCTTTTGCTAGAAAAATAGCTAGGAATTCCAGAGTCAGGAGGTAAGATTTGAGGAGCACAGGTACCAACCTTGGCCCTGGCATACCTCATCTATCTCAAAATCCATTTATTTTGCTCCAGTGAATTCCAGCTTGTTGTTGTTGTCGTTCAAATGAATTGAATTCATTTAAATGATTTAAAGCAACGGAATGAGATTCAATAGGGACATGTGCCAAGTCCTCCATTTCCCAACTGCATTGATGCAAGATGGGGAATACATGGCTCAACAGAACTGAAAATGAAAAAGACCTTGGAGTTATTGTGGACAGCAGACTAAATATAAGCCCACAATGCAATTGAGCTGCAAAATGGGCAAATGCTATTTTGGGATGCATTAATAGAATAATTACTTTCAAATAACTTCCTTGCTAGTCAAACCTCATCTGGAATACTTGCAAGGTTTCAGAAAGATGCAGAAAAATTAGAAAGGGCAACAAAAATGATCCAGGGTTTGGAAACACTGACCTATAAGGAGAGACTGAGAGAACTGAGCATGTTCAGCCTTGAGAAGAGAAGATTGAATGGGGGTCATGATATCCCTCCATGAGTACCTCAAATGTTGTCACAAAGAGAAAGGTCAAGATCACTTTTCACTGATACCAGAGCGTAGGACACAGAATAATCATTTCAAGTTGTGACAACCCAGATTCAGGCTGGAAAAGTTTTCTCAGTGTCAGAGCGGTACAACAGTGGAATCAGCTGCCTAGAGAGGTGCTGGGCTCTCCCACACTAGAGACCTTCAAAAAGAAACTGGACAGCCATCTGAGTGGGATGGTGTAACTTGGTAACCTGCAACAGCAGGGGATTGAACCCAACCCTTCATGGCCCCTTCCAGCTCTATTGTTCTTTGATGATTCTATGAAAAAACAAACTCTCTGAAAGCAGCTATTCAGAAAAACAGACATACCTGCGTCATATTTACATAGTGACAGTTCTAGATAGTGGGCATTTGGGTGTCAGGTTTGGGAATTTCAAGCACAGAAGTGCCAGGACCTCTGAATCACCCTTTCCAGTGAAAGTGATGAACTCCACAGAGCTGGGCCATGACACTCACAAAGGGACAGACTGTGCCAGCTGGGAAAGAGGGTGCCTCCCTTTAGTTATCCAATGGGGCCTTTGCTAGGAGGAATGTGGACGGCAGTACAGCCCTTACAGAGGTTCCTGTGATGTGTTTTATTTTATCTATATCCCTCCTTTCTATCAAAGGCTCAAGGCAGTGAAGAATAAAACAAAATTTCAACTAAAAGGTACCATGAAAGTGCATTACAGGCATAACAATAGTAAAAAAAAACCCTTATCTGAACAAAAACTTTTTTTATGTGCCAAACGGCCTGCCTGAACAAAAACGTACTTGCCGTTGACAGAAGAACAACAGAGAGAGAGCCAGTCTCTTGGCAGGGAATTCCAGAGCCTGGGAGCAGACACCCAGAAGGGGACGTGGAGATGCACTTCTGATGGCAGTAGGCAAAGCTAAGGGCTCCACGAACCCTTCTTCCTCTCCCTTTTCCATTGCTGCCTCTCTCGCTGTCACCGTTCACTCTGAAACAGCAGTGAGTTCTGATGGTCTCACGGCTTAACTTGGAGGTTCTTAAATACAGAACAGGAAGGAATCTCCCTGTAGGCTTGGTTTTATTAGATTTACGGCCTCTTTTCTCTTTTTACAAATCTCACAATGATTCTTTAACTCTGTAGACCAAAGATGTCCAGAAAGCAATGGATGAGAAAAGATTTGATGAAGCCATCCAGCTCAGAGGGAGGTGAGAAATCTCTCCGGGAGGAATTATATTTCTGTTTGTATTAAGATTGCCTCGGAATGTAAAACAGAAAATGGTTATGAAGGTGAAAGTGCCCCACGTGTGTTTTAGACATCAGAAGCCAAAGAATTAATGTGCTTTAGACTGTTAATGCATTTTAGACTGTAGAACCATAGAAGCTGCCAGCCCTTTATTCTACCTACTGAAATGCTTTGGCATATAAGCATTCAGCAATTTCCTTTCAATAGACATCATCGGCAGCCAGAGGAAGTCTCTGGATGTTAGTCGATCTTTGCTGTGCTTTCATCTTCTGATGTCCACACCTATTTATTGTGAGCCAGATGCATCAGGATGGTGACTCTCAATCCTTCATCCTCTTTTCTAGCTGCAACTAGCATGCATATTTCATGCACCTGGCCACTTTTCACTAACCCAATTGGGACATGATTAGAAATGTGGGCATCTTTAAATGTCTGTGATTGATTGATTGATTGATTTAAAAGAATGTGTTGCCTGCCTTTTCAGGACACACTGCCCTCACAAGATGTCTTACAATGTTGGAAAAACATGAGTACATAAATACAGTTACAAGTATACATGCACACACAGCAGCTAATGATATTCAAATACTAAATGCCAAATGTAATAAATGTGTCTCCCGGCTTTGTTTTGTTTTTAAAAAGTCAGCAGTGATGAGGCCATCTGGATCTCCCTGAGGGGGGAATCCAGAGGGTTGAAGGTTTTGTATGTGCAATGCGTGGGTGGGCTCATATGAGCATAGGTCTTCAAACAATTTATGGTTATAAAGGGCAAAACCAGTGACTTGGGCTCAGAAACTAACAATGTAAACAATGCAGAAATAAATGTTTGGCTTATTTCTTCCTTGGTCATTAGCCCAGTAGAGTAAAAGAAATACCACAAGCACTCCAGATTGTGAGCACTTATTTTCTTTCTGTTTTAAGCCTGATTTGGTTCTGCTTTTGAGGGAAAAGGTTATTCTAAGCACATAAGGACAATAGCAATCTCTCTCCGTAACTGTATGCAGTTACTAAAAAGGAAGGGGAAATTATAAAAATGGGACCTGCAAGGAAATGGTGTGGTGTGGTATCACACTGTTCAGGATTCCGAACACTTCCATTCCATCCTCCCACCCTGCCACCCCATTAATCAGTCTGCATTCTTTCCGAGGAATACTCATGGAGCTGCTTGGGGGAAGTTGTTCCTTCCTCATAGGGTTTGCATTTCCTATAGACTTCTTGTACCTCTATAAATATCAGCTTTCCACTGATAAGTTCCTTTTTTGTGTCATTATTGCCAAAGCCTGAACAGTGGAAAAAGCAGGAACTATTTGATTGGTAATCCAGACATAGCACCCTTCAGTAAATCCTTGAAAGAAAAAACTAGAAGTTAATGACGTTTCCCATCACTAACAAGGCAGCATCACAGTGGCAGCAAAGTCATGCCGTAAGCCCGCAATGATGAAGTCGTACATATCTCCCTAGGGAGGGTGTTCCCGAGATGTGAGGACAGATGATGTATTAGTCTGATTATTTTAAAATACGGGTGTAACTGATAGAGGAAATGACTGAGCGACGAGTAGTGGCAGTGAAATAAGGCAATAATTGTTTCTGTATGCTTCAAGTTGGCTACTGCCAAGGAGAGCACTGTAATGATTTGAGTCTCATTTTTGGGAATGCAAATATTTTTGCTCCTTTTTTGTTGTTTAAATATTGTTTAGCAGTTCTGCAGCTTCGAACTGAAATAAATGGAAGTTTTCTGTAAATCAAACAATCAACTTTCAAGCAAATGCTAAAATTGAGTCCACACTCACGCACTGATAACATTTTCTTGACTAGATGTTCTCTGATAGGAAATCTATTGAGGTGTCGTGTTCCATGTCTTAGGCTTCTGAATCCAAAAATAAGTGAGGGGGAATGGGAGGAGAGGAAAACAGACCATTGTGTGGACTAGATTTCAGCAGTGACTGCAAGACGCTTGAGAAGTAACCAATATCTAATGATGAACTTGTTTTACAGGAGCTTTGAAAATAACTGGAATATTTACAAGCTGCTTGCACACCAGAAGCCAGCACAAGAGAAGGTGAAAAAGCTTGGGGAAATGGGACATTTGAGTTTTGCTTTGCAAATTTCCCTTATGTTACGTGTTCAGGCCTTTCTTACATGGAATCATTGTGTCAGCTAGAATCCATGTGGTGGGTGCAATGGAAGATTCTCAGCTTGGTCGTGAAGGAACAGCTATATCTCTCCAGTCCATTGGCACTCTGTTATATCCTTAGAGTAGATTTATTTTTATTAAATCTTTTAAACCAACAGTAACATATTTTACACTGCACATGAACCCATTTCTTTAGTCTTTCTATTCACTCAGGACCTCTGCTTGGTACAAACAAGATTACCTGAGTTGTCAGTTTTCATCATCACAAATCATGGCAAAGAGCTCTGTGTGTCTTAGGGATGTCATGTATTGTTCTTAGTACTTCTGAATTCAGTACATGGATACCATATTCCATAAAGTGTAAATTTCTACTTGGCCTCTTTGTACTTAAAGATGCTTAGTGAATTTATTTGTTAGTACAAGGTCCCAAATTTTCTGTTTCTATATGATGAAAGAAAGTTTAATTGTTGATATCTAGTTAGCAATTACAACTAATCTGTTTGCTGCCAGAAAAAAAATCAGTTCTTTATGTCTGCCTTGTATATTAGAGTCAATATAATATTGACTCTAGTGGTCCCACTTTTTCAGATAGTATTATATCTTATTGTGTGATTTCACTGGCAGCTAATTTCAAAACTGTTCAGCATGTTACCAGGCCAGACCTCTGGAAAGAGTGATCTGTCCCCTCCCTGGCAGATTCGGCTGGATGGGAAAAGAGAGATGGAGGAGAAAGATAGAGGAAAAGGAGAAGCAGTAGGAGAAAAGGTCTGACTCACCCACAGTGGGCTCTGGCCGTTCCTACTGCTGGGTCCAGCTTCACACCGCTAGCATACAGCCCCTGCCAGATTACCTGTGACTGATGCAACAGAAGAATGGGTACCCATGCTTGTCTCCTAAGGCTTCATTCACATCCCTGAGCCCATCAAATTAGTACTGCAGTATCTCATCCAAGCTCTGTGTGAACTATTTGCTCTTCTTCCCCCTTCTGGGCAGAGCAATTTCAGCATTGCCATTCTAAATGTGGGAGCACCAGCAGCAGGAATGAATGCAGCAGTCCGGTCCGCTGTACGAGTTGGGATTTGCCAGGGACACACCATGTATGTGGTGAACGATGGCTTTGAAGGCTTGAGCAAAGGACAGGTAAGTCTGTCTCCGACTGGAGGGCCAGAGAGCTTTCCTCCCAATGGACCACTAGCTACATTCCTGGTTTGGTGCAACTAGGACATCTACAAGACAGTGTTCATTCAGACTGTTTTTCATTCAGGAGGCTTTGAAATTAGAAGGGTGGTAGAAGAAAAATTGCTACCAGGCCCTCAGGCAACAAAATGCCAATGTGATCTTTCCTTGCAAAATGTAGTTGGATTCAGTTCCAGTTCTGCTACTTGTCAGGAGATTTGGTGTGGTGAGAATGTCTAGGAAAAAAAGACAAGCATAATGAACTGTTTCCTCTTGTAGATCCGAGAGGTAGGCTGGCATGATGTTGCAGGCTGGTTGGGCCGTGGAGGATCCATGTTGGGAACCAAACGGTAAGTGCCATCAGAGCACAGACATAGGCCCCCCCTGCAGACAGGGAGAAATTGCAGAACTGAGTCCAAAAAATAAAAATAGCACAGGGCATGCTGAATTTTTCTGCCAAGTTGTAAAATGAGTGGGATCATTTAATCTACCTTTCTCCTAAAACAGGATATTCTAACCTTTTCTCATTGTCATTAAAATGATTAACAATGTGTTATTTTTATGTTATTGTTGCAGTATTCGTGCAATTAAGATGTTGCTTCCCCATGCTTATCTTGTGTCTGTCTTCCTGTTGTGGAAATTCATTGTTTATTCAGTAATGTTTCCTCTATGATTTCTTTATAGAAATGTTGCCAGTCAGTTTTTATTGCTTTCCATGAATCTCTCCTCAGTAAGCCTGTCCGGCTCTTCCACTTGCATGTTCTTTAGTATTTTTACTCATTTATTATAGTTCTATATCACCCAATAACCAAAGCTCTCTTGGTGGTTTACAAAGACTAAAAACCATTAAAATAGCACATGTATACTATTAAGAACTATTTACATACAGGTAACTTGCAGATAGACACATATCTTGGCAATTTGTTTTTTGCGGTTCTGTTTTCTTACCATTATTAAACCCGGGAAAAAAGCACCTTTTCTCAAAGCACTTGCTACTTTTTATATTCTCACATCAATTGTTTCTCATTTCTTAGAACCCAAATTCCAAATTGACAAGCCCCTATCTCATTTTTTCAGGTGTCTGAAATGGAAAAGGGTTTTGGACAGCCTTCATTTGTTGTTGTTAGTCGCGAAGCCGTGTCCGACCCATCGCGACCCCATGGACAACATTCCTCCAGGCCTTCCTGTCCTCCACCATCTCCCGGAGTCCACTCAAGCTCACACTGACAGCTTCAGTGATTCCAGCTAGCCACCTCATTCTCTGCCGTCCCCTTCTTTTGCCTTCAATTGTTCCAAGCATTAGGCTCTTCTCCAGGGAGTCCTTCCTTCTCATTAGGTGGCCAAAGTACTTGAGCTTCATCTTCAGTATCTGGCCTTCTAAAGAGCAGTCAGGGTTGATCTCCTTTAGGATGGACTGGTTTGATCGCCTTGCAGTCCAAGGGACTTGCAGGAGTCTCCTCCAGCACCACAATTCAAAGGCCTCAATCCTTTGGCGCTCAGCCTTCCTTATGGTCCAGTTTTCACAGCCATACATTGCAACTGGGAAAACCATAGCCTTGACTATACA